CTAATAAGTTTTGTACGGAGAGCTTTTGAAGTCTCTTGCCAGTGTGGTAAATGTAATTATGACACATGGTCCTTTTTTCCCCTAATTTTGGTCCTTTTTTTCTCTAATTTTGGCATTGGAATTAAAGTGAAAGGTAAAGATATTGTGGTTCCCCATCCCTACCAACACTGCGTAGGTTTAAGAGAAGCATTTTCTAAGTTATTTTCTGTTCTCAAAATGTAATGAATTTAGTTAAAAACTAAAATGTTTACTTGTTTTGCATTGAAAGTCTGATGAAGGGCCAACTGGTGATACTATTGTTACAGACATTAATGGACAGAGAGATGGATGTTTTTCTTTAAAAAAAAATGAACTACTACTTTATCTTGTAGCTAAATGAATCAAACACTAATGATCTCAGAATTTGAGCAACACTGATATCTTTCTGTCTGGACTTGACATGAAATGGTTTTCATTTTAGTGTAAAATTCATACTTTTTAATAATTTTAGTTATTTGTATAAGGAATGAGTGTGAAGGACATAATGACCAGGCATTCATTGTTTTTTAAATTTTTGAAGATTTTATTTAGAAGTCAAGACATCCATATGTCTTTTAAATTAAAAGATACTTAAAGTATCTTTTAACCTCTGTGTATCTAGCAGAAATTTTGTATGAGAAGTTAGAGAACTAATTTTAAGCATGAATGTTAAATTTGTAGTGACAAGAGAGGTAATTTTGAGGGCAATTAAATAGAAGGCAGAGAGAAAGACTGAAAAAGAATAGAGATTTTAAAAATCCTTGGAATGTTTGGTGACTTGGTAAATCAAGAGAAGGCTTCCTAGTGATGGTAGGTCCACTCCGGGATATATGTGCAGAGAAAGATGACAGCCAGACTTGACTTTAGTGGGAAAATCGGGCATTGAAAGCAAAAGTTCCATCTGGATGCGTAAATGATGCGTCTGTGAAAGATGATGGGAACTTTTTTCCAGCTGGGTGTAGGCTGCTGCATGGAATGAAAGCACCGGCTTGCTCATTCTGTGTGGGGTTGTCTGCATTCTCACGGGCTCGCTGACCTTGCCCTTCTCTGTCTCCAGGAGAGACAGCGCCTGGAGACCATCCTCAGTCTCTGTGCCGAGTACACCAAGCCTGACGGCCGCCTGTCCACAGGCACCACTGTGGCCGACGTGCAGAAAATCAACAAAGAACTAGAGAAGCTGCAGCTCTCTGATGAGGAGTCTGTGTTTGAAGAAGCCCTGGTGTGCCCTGACACAAGATACCGGTGCCACCAGAAGGGCTCTGTCCAGGATGCTGACCTGGTGGGCCTCGGAGGCCTCAGCCAGAGCACTGCCAGCCTCCTGGCCCCCAGGAGCATGCGGAATGATGAACTGCTCAGGGAACTCACCAGAACCCCACCACTACCCACCTCTGCCTTTCTGAAAGCTGCCAGCGAGTCCTCCTACCTAAGTATCCTACCAAAGGTAATGCTGCTCAGGGCAGAGACCACGCTCAAGGTGCCTAAGGCTGTGTATGTGTTTTGGTCTGCTAACTAAACATTTTATCATGTAAAATTTCCAGATGTTCTCCGGGCTTCAGCTTAAGGGGTGATTAGCCAGATAAGGTGCTGCATATTAGGGCGCTTACTATAAAGTCACCAGTTTGGGCTGTAAAAACTAGTATAGCCACAGAAGGGCAGGAAGAAAAATTTCCTGCTCCTTCTCAGTTGTACAGTTGAGAAATCAACATTGGTAAGTGTCCTACCTGCCTTCCAAGTAGTTTCTGTGTATATATAGCTATATACTGTACGTATAGACACACATGCATACACACTGTTATGTATCTTCTACCTTACTAAGTGTTTTGGGCATCTTTGCCTGCTAGTACAAGCAACTCTACCTCATATTCTTTTAGTAGCTTAGAATTCTATTGTTTGTAAGTTGGTTTTTTTTTTTTTTTTTTTTCAGACAAAAATTGTAGGATATATATTTTTGGACATATGTGCAAATGTATTGGTGGGGTCACTTACCTAACTTGAAATTGGAAACTTTGTATGTCATTCATTTTAATAGTTCCAAGTAGACTGTAGTTTTGGCTGACAGTCTTTTACATTGTTTTCCATGCATTTGCCAACGTATTACAAATTAGCAGAATTTTTCAGTTTGCCAATTGATAGATGTTCTAATTTCTCATTATATATGTAGGAGATTATTTTCATATTTTAAATTGTTATCTATAATTTTTGATCCATTTTATTTATTTATTTATTTGTATTTTAGAGAAGGGTCTACAGGGTGTTCAAGGGTCTCACTACTAGACTGGACTCATAGTGATCCACCTGTTTACAGTTTCCCAAGAAAGTTGGGATTACAGGCTTGTGCCACCATCCCCAGTCTCTATTGCTGTCTCAGCATGCCCTGGGGGCGGGGCCAGCTTGGCAGGGCTAGGGGGGTATCAATCTCCAGCCCTGCGCCTGCTTGAAGGTACTTTAATGCACTGAGCTATTTGGCCAGCCCCTTCTTTTAGGGTTTTTTTTTTTTTTTTTTTTT